ATTTGCTCAAAAGCAGAGATTTTGTAAAGGAAAGTTCTCATTCAGTTTCCTTACAGGAGATGCATTGTCCAGACCACCCCATGCAAGTTGTATTTATCTAATTCCTTACAGCTCAMATGAGCACTGTCTTTGGTCCATTGCACAGCAGGCACCACCAGCGTGGCCAACCCCAAACGAGCATCCAGCATCTTTTGGGTGTATGGTGGACACGTGTTTTCAAGTATGAGAAATGCCATGTTTCATAAAGCAAACAGGAGCAGGGGTGTGGGCTGGAAATCAACCAGCATAGCAAGTTCCTCCATGAGGCCTGGGCATGGAGTTGCCTCCTGGAGGGTGTATCCTCCCCTTTACCCTTCAAAGAAGCAATAAAATAATCAGGTTTCTGGCTTTGTGTCCAGATTAGACCAAAAAAGTACCAACAAAAGAGTGCTTTGTAGATGTCTTCTGATTCAGTCTCTGCTGTGCCAGCATGCTTAGCTGAAGACAGACCAATATATCAAATTAAAAAATATATAGGTGCCTGGGAATATTAATCTGGAGTATTTATCAATTGCATGGGTGTTCTGGATGATGCGCAAGCCCACGTGGCCCTTCAGGCCTCTCTTCCTCGATGAGTTAGATTCATTGCTCATAGCTAAATGCACAACCATCTTTTCTTGTTTTTCTTCTTCTGGTACCATCTGGTTTCTTGTGTATCCTGCCAGGCTGTTGGCATCAGATTCACTGCAGGTTCCATCCAGCATCATAGTTTTCGAGTGAGGTATTCCACAYGAACATGAAAACTGGGGACATAAACAAGAAACATAGCTGAACATTGGAAAAACACATAAACAACAGAAATTATGCCTTTCTATTCACAGACAGCTTGTAAACCGTTGAGTTTGAAATTTTGATTGAGATATTTGAAGTTTCTCTTTGAACAAAAGTATTTTTTTTTTTTTTGCTAGTTTTCAAAAGAAAGGAACAGGGTTTATCTCCACTGCTTGGACATGCAGCTTCAGAAAAGATTATCAAAATGCTTTAGCAGACATACAGTCTAAGCAAAAGGTTTTCTTAGCTAGCTGTTGTTCAGCCTTACTGTCTTGAGATTCCTAATTTTTCATACTCTGCATTTATAAATATTCATGAACAAGATGCAGTTTAATCTGTGGAAATGGTTTATCCAGTAGACGTTACAGAAAGAACAGGACCAAGTTCTGGTTTTACAGATACATGTTTTCTTCKTAAATCTGATTTTAAACCAAGCAGAAGACCAGCTAAAAGCTGAATGTAAAATCCCAGCTCTGTTGGAGCTAACATCAAAACTTGCACTGACTTCAGCAGTGCCATCATGCATCCCAGAGGTCTAAAAAATTCCAATGAATACAGATGGAATTTTGAATAGGAAATGCAGTCTTCTACCATTCAAAACCYTCAGTTTTCCTATCCCAGCAATATGGACTGAGTATTTGCATGTAATGAAAATAGATTCCAAAACCTTCTTTTCTGCTAGGAGTTCCTGCCTCTGATTTCCACCGACCAATTTCCTTATCCAATAACACTTTGCGCCCAATTCCCTCCTCCACCAGCTTTGATGTGTGGGTTTTCCAAGAGCTTGTTTTCAAGAATATGTTCAGCTAAAATAAATTTATGTATCCTAATATATATATCTATGAATGTATTTATACATCAAGATGTAATATTCAGGATGTCRTTAGAAAACCCTGCAGTCAAGATTTATTTTCATTATTTAACTAATAGACCACATTGCTTATTGAAAACCTTAAAATTAACTTAAAGATTGTTTTCTGTGTTCTTGGCATTACTAAAAGATTTGGTACCAGCAGGTTGTGTTCAGAAAAAAAGCGACAAATTAGTAGCCCTCTTACTTTACTTCGTTTTCAGCATTCCATGAGTACAACCAAACAACAAATGGGTTTTAAGGTAAGTTTTATTCTAAGCAGGCATACTTAAAAAAATCCAAAGCCCAAACCAGCAAAACACCAACACCAAAACAAAACCAGAGTGAAGCTCCCCAAGAAGGACTCTTGTTGTATAAGCACAGCTGGCATTTAAGCATCACACAGCTCCTCACTCAACCAGCCCTYCCCCTGAACTCAGGAGGGATGGGGGGAGATCCAAAGGTAAAACTTGCAGGTTGAGATAAAAACAGTTTAATAATTGAAATGTGTTCCATGGTGAGGAATATCCSTTTGGACAGTTTTGGTCATCTGTCCTGGTCATGCTCCCTCCCAATCTACTTTGTTTATCTCCTCACTGGCAGAGCATGAGATGCAAAAATGTCCTTGACTCAGAATAAACACCACTTAGCAACAACATCAGTGTGTCACGACATTATTCTCACACCAAATTCAAAACACAACACTGCACCAGCTACTGAAAAGAAACTAACTCTATGCCAGCCAAAACCAGAATACCAAACAACAATAAAACCACAGGGGAGAATTACACATCAGGCTCTTTATTGTGAGCTCACAGGTCGGGGTGATGGTGGCTGGGTGTGAGGGGCAGCAGTTACAGTAACAAGCTAATTGCTGCAGGRCTCAGCAGAGAAAGCAATTCTGCAGATTTACTGGCAGCCCCTAGATCAAATTACAGTTCCCATGGCTTCTTGCACACATGGTGACAGCCACCTCTATGGACAAGGGAGCCTGACGTGCTGGAAACCCACCTCCAAGAACCTAAAATGACACTCATCCTCACACAGGCACACWCACGCAGAGGTGTGCTGCATAATTTCACCCTGCAGATATTTTAGCCARTGTCAACAATAATAATTCAAATGCTGCCAAAAAGCCTCTTTGGGCATGGGAATGCAGCTGCCAATACCATCAGAGTGTAAGAATTTTCTCTGGCCTGAGTTTTGTCCAGCCTAGGAAGCACTGAAAAGATCCTAGGTGTGGGCTGGTGATGAGCATGGGGCCMAAGATCTTTTTCCACAGGCATTTCACAGAAGCTCCTGTGATCTCAAGGGAGAGAAGGTTTAGTTTTAGATACTGCATGCCTTTGTCCCAGGYACRTTTAATTTCTTAATCCAGAACTCTTCTCTGGATAGCCTTGCGTGTTTGTACTGGGACTTTCTGGGTCTTTCATAGGGGAGCAGCACTGGATGACAAGATCTACATTTACTATGAGAAATATCTCTTCTGCTTCYTCAAGAGCTTCTTTCTCAAATCATGCTGTTTAATATTTCAGTTCCCATCTCCCCTACTGAAGACTAATATTGTCACATGTTAAGATGGGGTAGAATATTTTGCCTTGTGTAGTAAAAAGGTATTTGCTGAATACAGAATTCAATGTACAAGACTCAATAAAGGGCAGATTTATGATATAAATAACAAGCTACACCATCACTGGATATGGGAAAACATTCCRGAAAACTTAGCAGAAAATTAACAAACCCTCTCAAGTTCATCTCATCCCTCCAGCACAGTTAAAAACAAACAAGAGTTTTGATCTTTAGGAAAAAAAAAAAACAGGTTTATTCTAGGCAAATCAAATCTAGCAAGGATGTTTCTTGTTGTTTCCAATGACCTGTCAAGACAATGTATTCTTTAGACGTGGRACACCTGAGCAGGGCTGGCTAAAATGCCACAGACCACTGCTCATGTGCAGCAAATCAGAAACTCCTGAGTCACTGTGCTTGCACTGRGCTTCTCTGCCTTGTGTTGCAGAGAACTGCTGGGCCCCAGGTGGGGACTAGGAGGGCATAGATAAATTAAGATACTCAGGACATGTCCAAGTAGCTTTCCTGARCCATAATGCTGTTGAGAAGGCCTGGAAGAGAGGCAACATTTCATCACAGAAGTCTGGTAAATGYATCCAATTGTTTTTTAAAATATATYTAATTACACTTTTTTATGGTATGTCAGCTGGGAAAGGTGCTGGACTGTTAGATGGTTTATGCTGTACTTAAGGAAATCATACAAAGAAAGACAGGGACATGCGAAACCAAAAGAGTAGTTCAGAGAGGGAAATATCCKGCTTAAATTAAATAAAAGATGATGTCTGCATTGGCATTTCCAACAGGCTTATTATACTAATTTCTCCAGGAGTCAGACAGTATGTTACCAATATTACCAGTAGACTAATGTGGGGAGTTCCTACTGGGAAAAAAGAAACTGTAAAACATGGTGATGTCCTGGGTGTATGGGGACAGAAAAGATTTGGTCCCAAGTCTCAGTGTTCAAAAGGCAATGGTCCTCTGTTTAATCACAAAGAAAAAGGGCTTACAGGTCTGTAAGATCTTTCAGGGAATCCCTAATCCTACATCCTGCTCAAGACTGTATCTGGTCAGGTCTTGAAACATTCCAGGGATGTAGGATAAGACCTTTCACAGCACTTTAAAAAGAACAAGGAAAAGCTTGGCTGACCGTTGTTTGTTCTTGGTAGTGGGGAACCCCTCCACTATTACATCCATTAAATCTACTTTCCAGAGCAAAGCTGCCTATATAATTTTGCTCCAAATAACACCTTTAGCTTACTAAAAAACCAGGAATCATGGCAGCTGCAATGAAGTATCAGATTTTATACTTTCCCCTCTTGCCATTCCTTCACAGCTGCAGGTTGCAGTGTTTTCCTGTTCAGATAATGCTCTCTTCTCTGATGTTTCTATGAAGATCCATAAGACCAAATCCTATTTTTCTCTGTTAGCAATTCAGCCTGAGGTRGAGCGGTCTAAACAGACCCAATTACACACATGGTTGTCAGTGTTTTCCCATTAACAGAAAGTCAATATAAAGACCAGATCAGCTGTAAGGAAAAAGTGGAATAAATGGATGAACAAAAGCTTTTCTCACCCTCTCGCGCAGTTTCCTCTCCTTCCGCTCCTGCACCGTTGTCAGGTAATTCACAGCCGCGTATTCCARCACTGAGAGRAAGACAAACACAAAACTGACCCACAGGTAAATGTCCACTGCTTTGATGTARGAAACACGAGGCATGGAAGCRTTCACCCCAGTGATGATCGTGGACATGGTCAGCACAGTGGTTATCCCTGGAAAGAACCAAGGGAAAGAAATATTATTGACTGATAAAGTCCATCAGGTTTTTTGTCTCTAGAAAAACAGAAATTATGGTCTACATTATGCTCTGAAAGATGTTCAGTGTAAAATAATTGCATRTTAAGTATCTCTTCTGCCAATGCAGAACTGTTCTCCTGCTGCCTACATTTTTGTGGTCATGATGGGTTGAGTTTTGAGAAGCAATGGAGCAKTCAAAATTTTGCATTTAACAAACAGCATTTATCTCCCTCCTTAACCTTCAGATTTTAAACACATTGGTAAAACACATTTTTAAAACACCTAATCCTAAGGTCAGGTCTGCTAAGACCAGTGCTGACAAGGACTCCTGTTTCCTACCTGCACCAATCCCTGCTAGAGCTTAATTTTTAAAACCCCAGCACTTTCTGTCCTGAGCTACGTGTAAGAGAGGAAGACTGCTTAGTGATGAAGGGCTTAGGACAAACTGCAAGTTATACATTATATTAATCATCAGATGAAACCATCATTTGTTTGCACAATATCTTTAACCATCAAAATGAGCAGTTCCCTTTCCTGCCAAACTTTCACATTCAAAGCTTTTCACACAGCCATGGCTTGTTGCAGTTGCTCTCACCCAAAGAGACTCTGGCAGGAACTGCTCGTCGGTCGATCCAGAAGGACACCCAGGACAACATGACCATGAGAGTGGCAGGGAAGTAAGTTTGGAGCAAGAAGAAGAAGATGTGTCGGCGTAAAGTGAAGTTTATATAGAGGCGATTGTACCAACCTTTGAGAGAGGAGGAAAGCCAGAATCAGAGAGAACACCCTGGACAGTAGGTACAGAGAAACAAGATCTTTTTTTGTTCTTTTATTTCTAAGACTATTGAAACAAGAAACTGAGTTTTCAGGCTGTGGATACTACATCTCAACGACATAATCTCACAAGCAGTTAATACAGCATTAGGTTTAGCAAAAGTATGAAATCAGAAAAGGCCAATACCCGTGCTACTGTAGAAAGCCAGTCTTGATGTAGTGTGGAATTTTTGTATCAAAAACTGAGACAAAGAAATCTTTTCATCGGTTTTCAGAGATTCATTCCCATTTTTCCAATACAGCATCAGATCTTCATCAGTGTAAGCATCTTAGGGAAAGAAGAAATACAGTGTGATGTGACTTTAGCTTAGAGGTTCAACCAAAGTTAATACATTTGGTCTCTGGCATGAACTAATGCCACCAATCACTTTGCCAAAAGTGAGTTCAAAAGATCTTGTCATATAATACACCATGACAACAACAAAAAACAGGTCATCCTGATTCAAGAAAACAAATCCTCTTTTTATTCCCCATTGAAATGACAGCTAGAATGCTACTCTTCTGAACATCACAGATGAAAAATAATCAACAAGTTATTGCTAACAGAGAATAGCTCAGGAAATAATCRTGGATAAAATACCTTAATTTAGAGGAAGGAGGGAGTATGGACACTTCAAACTATCTTAGAATGATAAAAGTGAAAAGGACAGGTGTGATCTGAAGCAAAAGCCCAGAAATCTATTGAAAGTGTAAATGAAAAACTTAYAGAATTTGTGCACTAATTAACAGGAACAGGGAATGAGAAGAGGGTTATCAAGATGGTCTAGAGCACAGGGCCTAACAGRAGAGGCTGGGGGAGCAGGGTTTGTTCAGCTGTGAGAAGAGCAGTCTGTGTTGGGGTCAGCTGCTGCCCTGCTGATGGTCATGGAGAAAGCAYTTTGACACAATGGATAACAAAAGGACAGCAGGCAAGGGATGCAAGTCTCAGCAAAGAAACTGCTTTTCAAGCAGGCAAAAGGAAACATTTTCAGGATCAGGGCTGTCAAATACTTGAGCAGGTTGCATAGGAAAGTTGTGGGCCTGAATTACCTTGCTCAAAACCCAACCTGACACAGCCTCAAGCAACCTATTATAAAGTGCTCCCTGCTCTCAGCAGGGTATTGGAGCAGCTGACCTCAAGGTCAATGAAAATTATCCTCTGATTCTGTGATTCTGTTTTTTGCAGAGAAACATTCAGTTAAATAGCTGGGAGGATCTCAAAACAACTAGGTGTTAGTCTTGCCACACACTGGAGAAAAAAATCTTACTGTTCACTTTACTTTCTCCATAGAACAACTCCTTCCCAAAGAAGCTGAGCCCAGATCACAGTGTTTACAGGATCAGAATTATGTCATAGGATGTCTTCCTTGCAAATTCCTGTCTTGTAGTGTAAGGACTAAATACWCAAATACTGCTGAGTCAATAGAATAACTCTTAGTAACTCTGATCAACTATTTTTTCAGGCCCTAAAGTGGCAAGTGTTCTGAAACGTTTCCAGTGAAATGTTTGTGCATGGCTAGAAACATCTAGCTAGAAACACAGATATTACGTACAGCTTTCCAGCTCCAGAGAACATGTCTGAGAGTCCAGGGGGAAGTGGCTGAAGTCCATGTTGCACATCGCYGTCACTGTGATCCTAGAAGTCAAAAATGAGAAAAGCTGGTTTCTATGAGGGACAAACAAGCGAGAATGTTATCACAGRTAATTATTCTGCAGTTTTAAAGCCAGCAGTTATGCATGATGTTAGTACAAAACCTAGAGGAAAATGCCTACAATTCTCCAAATTCAAGCCAGATGGATTATACACAGAAACTTCAAAGAAAAAAAAAAAGTAATTTCACAATCTATCAAGGAACTAAAGCAGTGTCTAGGACATTCCTGTTACACTAGTGTCAGTTCAGATATTTACACTCTGTTTATATCCAACTATTTGCCTACAAGTCTACAATGTAGCTTCACCATTTACATTTGAAGATTCCCTTATGTGCAGTTTTGATTGAGGTTTCCTCATTTTGTCCATTGCTCTGTTCCTTCCATAGTCACCCCCAGTATGACCCGAGCCTAAGGAATATGATCATCCTTACTGCAAGCCACAAACAAAATTCCTCTAGTACATATATTATTAAGGCAAAAGCAGTTTCTTACAACTCTCAGKAAACCCTTTTAATCTGAGGGGTGTATTTTTGGGGCAGGAGTGGTAAAATGGGTGCAGCTGGTTTTCAGCAAATTAGATTTACTTCTGTTCAGTTTGTGTTTTAGCTAAAGAGTGCAACAATCACAGCTGCAGTTTTTAAACTAGTCYAGTTGTGCACAACTGTTACATAAGAAATTTTCCAGTGGGTCAGTGAACTTTCTGTTGCAGATGGATTTGCAGTGGAGCTCCCGATTTAGGAGGGGCAAATCAGCTGTGACTCATCGTTTCAGAGGCCGACTGACGTTGGCTGTGACCATTTCCTAGAYTCATTGCAGACGTCAATAAAGAAGTTTTCTTCTGTTCCAGGGACTGCGATACAAATCCAACCCTGACCTACGCACTCATCACCCCRAAAGGCACATGCTGTTCATTTTGACTGGAAACTGTAGCAAAATTTTGCCACATGAGCAAAATTTAAAGAATGCTCTTGGGGATATGTTCCAGAAGGTATTCTCCAACAATGACCTCCCCCAGCTGTGTGTATAATTCAGTCTCATTACAATCTGTTATTTTCTTTCCTTGGTGTGACCTGAACTGTGGCACAACCTGTGGGCAATAACAGTTTGCTGGTCAGCCCAGAAACTTGGCTCATCCATATGGTATTCCCTAATTAGAGTGCAGTGTCCAGGTGGCCTTGGAAGCCTAGGGCCCAAAACAGGAATGAAATGTTGCTCAGTCCAGGTTAACCCCATGAAGATACCTCAAGATATCAGAGGGCGCTTCCAGCACCACTGCACACCCATTTTTCTTAGCTGGACCTAAACACCACTAGGCCCAAATGCCATGAAGATTTTCTTTCTGCTTAGATTTTACATATCAAATTATCCATTTAACTCTTGTGCGAATCAATTGTGGTTAACTCACAGACTTCTCTCTGGTAGGTAACATTWAAAAGTCACATCATTTCCTCAGCAAATCCCAGAATCAAACTTTGCAGATAACCTTTCCTAGTTTTTGAAAATCATTTTACCATAGCTGAAGTAAGTTCCAAAAAGATCCTAAAATAGAAATTCTGGGCTACAAAACATTCAAAGGTCATTGTACACTCAGAGAATATTTTCTGTCCTGGGGAAATACCCTTTTGTTTGGGCTCTTGAGCTTTTTTCCTCTGGCAGTGTGTTTTTCTCTGCTTCTCTTTTTTCATTCTTCTGAAGGAAATTAAATCTTCTGATGCTGATGTGAGCAGCCATAAAGGTGGCTTGGTTAGAAGGGGAAATACTGAGCAAAAAAAAACTGTCTGTTGAAAAATATGGACAGAGAAAGGCCTGCCAGCCTGGGAACAAGACAAATCTTTGAGAAACACAGCTGGCCTCTTTGATGTGCAGATAGGGTACCTAGAAACAGGTATCCTGAAATACCATCAATAACTGCCAAAAAAAAGAGAAATTTTAAAGTAAATTTATTGTCAAAAAAGGTAGGAAATTATCTTAAAAATTAAAAAGGGTTTGAGAGAACAGAAAACATCAGTATCTATTGGCCGTCACAGGTGAAAAATAGAAATTACCAGCATCTATTGCCTGTTTAAAGTTGTGGCATCCTACATCCTCTTGCCTCTCTGGATACGAGGACAATAAAATTTTTATCCTAAATGAAGCCTTCCTCTGTGAATTTTCCATCCTGCAGATTCTTTTCTGTTCTTTTGCACATTGAATTCAGTGCATGAACTTTCTGCCCGCTCTCGGACACCCACCAGGGACACCGGGCTGACTCCAGACCCTGTGACTCAGAGTATCTCTGAAATGAGACTCTGCTGTCTCAATRGTCCCCTCTGAGCCTGCTTTGAGGCTCTTTCAGTTTGTCCTTCCATCCTTTGGGTCATTTGATTGCTTGATGGTGACACCAGTACTGTCCACCCACACAAGCAGCCTGTCCTAGGAGTACCTGAGGGTATTTTGTGGGTGAGTTGCTACACCAGTGTTCAGTAATCTATAACACACCCTGGTTAGTTACTGGATGTTGCCACATGATTGACAGACACTAAATTATCAATTGCTGATAGGAATTTGCAATGGCATGGTATGTATATTTGGTCAATTAATTAATCATAGGTGTAGCTGTCAGTGGTGATTCTGCRGTAGTTTACTTGCTAGCGGTGATGTTTGTGGTGTTTTTGATAATCTGTAATAAGGTAGAGAAGTTTAGRGGATTAAGCCTCCATGTCCTTGTGYATTACGGAATCCTSCAAAYSCACAGCCATGATCTGTGTGCACCCACAGGATGGACAACCCTCCAGGTCAGGACAGACATCCCTCAGGATTCTTCCAGCCAACAAATCTACTAGAAAACTAGGATGTCTTTGATACTGACATTTCAGCTTCAAAAAACTTAAACATTTACATCAACAGGAAAGCACCGCAACTAACGAAAAAAATTCTAGACAAACAAGAAGGAAAATAGGATCATTATAGAGGTCACCATCTGGTATATCAGCAGCTTCCAGTTTAATCACACACTGACCCTGGGATGAACATTCCTGCTTGACTAAACCCTCCACTGACTGCAAAGAGTTGGGGRCATGCTTCCCCAGGGAGGGTATTAYCCTGTTACTGCCCAGAGCACSGTTTCTCAGCATTTTCTGTAAAGCATTTTGTACTGCATATTCTGGAAACAGGGCTCTGCAGCAGGAGTAGCAGTAGCAATCCTGGTGATCTGCAGAGTCAAGGCTCGAGCAAAACTGGCAGCACAGCCCCAGGGGATGTTCAGGGGTAGCAGGGCTGTTCTCTTACCTCATGCTGTAGAGGACATGCCCGTCGGGGAACACTCGCAGCATGATGTTGTCCGTGGTGGTATCATGAATGAAGGACCTCTTGGAATGCACAAAGAAGACATCAGGGACCCAGATCTTCTTGACCAGGCGGCCGTCAAAGGTCATGCTCTTGTTRTTGGTGCTGGGAAAGGAGAGACGCTCGTCCTTCCAGTAGTGCCTTAAGTACAAGGTCATGGTAAAATCCTTCAAGAAAAGGAAGAAAGCCCAGAAAAAAGAAGAGAAAGGTCTGTCAGTGCTGCACTCTACAACTAGGACACACCAGAAAGAAAACTCACTCTCACCAGACAGATGAAATGTCTCCACTCTTGTCTCCCGACTCTTTCCTAGGTCAATGCTCTCTGTGAATAGATTYTCTTGACAAAATAATTTCAGCCAAAACAAAGCATAACCATCTAATGAATTTATTACTCAGTAGTTTATATTAATAAACCCGGTAATGTTCAGTCCCAAATGGGATATAGATATGCCCCAAGAGAAGCAAAGCTCTGCAGAAATGATTCTTCAATTCTGGCAAAATTATCTCATTGTTCTATGGGTAGCAATAAGATGATCAAGAGGAAAAACTCTGAAATTCAGCTTAAAGCTCAGGCTAAACACTAATTAATTTATTCCCAAAAKAACTAAATTATTGCAAACAGCAACCAAGTAAGGGTACTGGATTTCCTGCATAGAAGTATGTAAATGAAGTTYCCTTTTAGGCTCGTTCAGGGGGCAGGAGCTTCAGTCACATAAAGGAAAACATCTGTTTGTTAATTCCAACCTGGCAGCTGCTGCTTTTAGTGCTGAATCTACTCTCTCATGCTGAGAGATCAAATACGCTTCTTTTCTTTATATTYCCAATTAAGCAAGTGGTTATGGGAGCTGCAGCTGCCAAGCCTGAGGAGGTAGCAACACAGGCCAGGGCTGCTAACCATGCGGAAACCACTTTCTAAACCCACAACAAATCAGTTTGGTGACAGTGACAACMATTTACCCTGACCCTCTGCTCCAAAGGGCTGTCTCAAAACTGCCTGGCATTGCCAGGAGGTTTTGCATCAGTTTGTCATAGAAGGCCGTAGTGCCAGTCCTCACCTTGCTGCCCTGCACAGTGCAGAGCTGGCAGACACCTACCTCTGAGCATGGCAGAGGCTGCCAGGGGGACACTTCTGCTCACCTACCTGCAGGTCCCCACCTTAGCAGAGTGGTCCCAGGCTCCCTCACGACTCCTCCCAGGGGTGCTGCCCGTTCCTACTCCCTACTGGACACTGGCCACCTTCCCCTTACAGCTATAATCCCAAAGAAACACTTTCAGCARCTACTGCCACTGGCAGAGCTTAGGTTACAACATGTCCAGAAGAGTCAGCCTCAGTGRCCGGACATCAAACTCATCAGCTGGACGAGAGCTGGGAAAATAAATAGTAATAGGAAGAGTAATGAAAAAGGAGATCGAGAGAAAAGAGCAACACTCCAGAAAAACAAGGGATGCACAATGCAGTTGCTGACAGATGGGCAGCACAGCCCCCAGCAGTGATCAGCCCCTCCCAGCCAACTCCCCCAGTCTATATACATCCCATGGTATGGAATACCCCTCTGGCCAGTTCAGGTCAGCCATCCTGGCCATGCTCTCTCACAGTTTCTTTTGCCCCTCCTGACTGGCAGAGCACGAGAAACTGAAAAGTCCTTGACTCAGTAAGCACTGCTGAGCCACAACCAAAACACTGCGTTATCAGTATTATTCTCATACTAAATCCAAAACACAGCACTGTACCAGCTACTAAGAAGAAAATTAGCTCTATCCCAGCCAAAACCAGGACAGCCAGGCAGCCTGAGGCTGTGGCTGCAAAATGCCTCTGAGCTCCATCACCAGARCACAGGGGAACAGGGACCATCAGCCAGGCACCCTCAGCTTGGCTCACAGCCACTGTAGAGAGGGAAGAGACTCCCTGTAGGTATAGCGTGGGAAGGAGCCCCTGCTTTCCAGGGTACCCCTTTTCCTGTCCTACTAGACAGGAGTGTCTCATCTCTCACCTTCAGCCCCTTTCTCTCTCCAAAGAGCCAGCACAGTGGCCTCTGCAATGGCCAACTCTCCTCTCTCTCCAGTGGCCAGAGCAATCCACCAAATTCTGCAAACATGGAGCCAAAGTGGCAGTTGACAGAAGCTTCTAAGTATAAAATCCAACTTAAGGAGGTTTTTTCATGGCATGATTCAAAAGAGGCAGTGTGCTGAATGCTTACTCCTTTCTGACCAGCACAAACACTATATACCAGCAAGAAAAAGGGTTTATTTCGGCACACACAAATAGAAAAGTCCCTTGGAAAACAAGGTTTCACAACAAATTGGGAGAACAATAGTACCTGCCAGAGGCACAGCCAAAGAGCACACACCAGTACCTTAATTTTGGCAAACATAATTTTGGCAAACATTTCATGTTTGTTCCATGCTCCAGGCAACCTCAAGAGCATGCCCTGCCTTTGCACACAGCAGCAGCCCATCCATGTCRACCACATAGACACCAGTTTTAAACCTTCATGCTTTAAACAGCCCCTGGCTGCTCTCATTGTCATGCACAGTCTTGMAGGCGCAGTGGATTGGTGATGATGAGGTTGATGCTCTGCTCTGGTCCTTCTTTGGGGCACTGGGTGCCTCATCAAGCAATGACATGTGAGGACTGCCCAGCTGAGGGTTCCTCATTTCCAGGGCCACTTCAGAGCACTTTGAAACAAGCCCTGCCCGTAGCTGTGCCCTGCCTGCCCAGGGATGACAAGGAGGGCACCTGCTGCAGGCACAGCCAGCGCCGTTCCCCTGGCCACAGACAGACAGACAGACAGACAGACAGACAGCTTCCTGCCCACTCTCCTCCCTGCAAACACCCGTGCTGGGACACTCTGTTGGGAAAACACATCAACAGAACTCAGACTGACCTGGGAGAACATTCTTCCACCACAAATACATGTCAGCAATGCCACAGAAAGCACTTGTCATGAGCTGGGAAAACAGGAACTATCAACAGCCGAGGGAGAGAGCTGACCTTGAAGTCTGCAGACAGGCAAGAGTTTTGCTGAATCAAATACTCCTGACAGAAAGCACTGTGAGTTATTTACTTGCACTAATTAGGTCACTTTGCTGCTCTGACATTTTCTCAAAACCCTGGAGCCCCAGGTCTCTTCCTGGCAGCCATTTCCTGGGCTGACAATTCCCTGCGACACACCTCACTGCATCCATACCCCCAAACACTCTCTTTCAATACCCAGGCAGCCAAGCTCCCTGGTTTTAATCACAGAACACAGAATRGTTTGGGTTGGAAGGGACCTTTAAAGGTCATCTAAACCAACATCTCCAAAATGGGATGAAGATGTAATTGCACCATAGTAAAAAACACTCWACCTAAAATTCTTCCTTTGTCTTTGTGTCTTGTCTAGACCACAAAAGGTGCACAGGGACAGTCAGAAAAAGGCAGAAAGAGGAAGGAGCCAAGAARCTTCCTCTTATCCTCTATGTTCCCCTTTCCACTTCTCTTTCAAATGTTTTTATTCCACTTCCTACAGTTAAAAAAAAATCACCATGAAATAATCTGAAACCAAAAAAGAAAATGTGTGATCGCTCATGTGAACTGAATGGATCCCTAACGAAGAAAAATTCTGCAGCAAGTGCAGCTTATGTGAATTTTTCCATTTACCTTCAAACCTTCATATGCAGCTACTTATATTTTTAGTTGTGACAGATMTTTCACAGCACTGATTATTCTCCCATTCAAGGTTCCTTTTCCCTTCATGCTTTTAGTCGTTATCTGGAGATAGAGASTTAAGACTTTGATCACCTGGTTTTATCAAGTCTTTGGTTCTGAATATCAGCCTCTTTGAATTTCAGGGGTGCTGCTATTGCTTTCATCTGACCAATGATTTCAAGCCCACAGGTCTCAAGTCAGAGGGTCTTTTTATGACTGGAAATAATTGAGGCTTAGAAGAGGATTACATACCATGTCAACCTCAGAAATACTGTCCAAGCTTTCGACTTGCACGTCCACCCCAACAGGAATTGCAGGGCCTGAAAAAGAAGGGGATTTACATATGTAAATAAATGTTCYTTTGTATCATCTGCATTTAATTAGSTCTTCTAAGATGGCATGAAACATTTTTGAGATTGTGTTGTACATTTCTGTCAATRGTTCTTCATGAGGGGGCTGGAGAGACTCAGAGAAAAACCATGAAAGGGTGACATTGAATTATCTTCCCCTTGGCATACGCTGCAATGTTGGCACTCTGCCAGTTAATCCAGAGTTTGGATAMAACATTTGCATGTGTTTTTAAAAACTGAACCATCCCATCTTAAATTTTAGGCCTTTTTWAACAAATCTAGCCCCAAGAACAGAGGACACAGATGAAGAAATAGCAGTGAACTTGTCCTTGGACATTTCTCCCTTTTCACCAAGCTACATTAATCTCTCTTCTCGAGACCACATCCAAGCTCTGAATGCACCACAAGCCAAACCAGAGAGCAGAAATGTGGCTGAGAGACCAACACACTTGTGCAAGCTGCCATCCATCCCACTCCTGTACCTGCAGCACCTACAGACTCCCACACATCTCCAGGGCTTTTGAACACAGCCTGATGTTTTCCTCTGCTGGAGGAGGAAAAAAGCACCAACACAGCCTCAGCAGGGAAAAGCTGATCCCCACATCCACGAGACAAGCTGTGACCAGCCCCAGCACAGGTTTGCAAGGGCTTTGACAAGCCAGCCTCACCTGATCACTGCAGAGCACTCTGATGGTGACACTGTCCCCTCCTGCAGGCACAGCTCCAGCCTGTTGTGCCCACAGTGTCTGTCAGCAGCTGTGCTGGGAACAGGCACCTTGAAGCAAGCCCTGTGGAGCAGGACCAGGCTCTTCAGAACCACCAATTCCAATTTAAGTGACTGCTTCCCCCGGCAGTGAAGCTCAGATGTGTCTAACCCAGCACTTTGAGACAACTCCCAGATGCTCACAGACACCTACATTCAGATACACAGCTGTGTGCTGCATGCTTTTGAAAAATTGCCGAGAGAAAGAATATCTCTATGACGTTTCTCCTGCTCAGTAAAATATGCCTTGCTTTCTTGTTTGTTTTTTTTTTGTTTTGTTTTTTTTTTTTTTTTTTTTTRAAGACRGTAGCAAAAARCACTATATYTKYGGTGATAAGASACATTTTGATATGCAGTACARTSAACAGRGAAACAACACACCCTGCTGATGGCAGTGCCCTGTTGGTCGCCAGTTAGCCTTGTTTTGCTCAGATACCTTGTGAAGACATACATGGTGGTCAAGAAGAGCTTGGGCAATAATTCAAATACTTATCTATTTCCTTAATGCCTTAGAGTATCTAATAGCTCTTCAGTGTGGTCATGCCTGTGTCCSTTCACTTGGGGCTGTGCTCAGAGAAAGTCTCTTCAGAAAGGTTCCACAGCGCAGCACAGTCCACTGGAGCACTCAGCACCACAGAAAGCGTGTGTCACTAACACTGCCATTGTCACATCCAGCTGGGGACATGGCAGCAACGCCCACAGCTTCCCCGCAGACACGCTGTGGGAGGAGGGTGCTAAAGGAGGAGGGTGCTAAAGGAGGAGGGTGGAGGTCTCTGCCAGGATGGATTCACAGTGGATTCACAGCACAGTCAGGCTGTGCCGGGGGAGGATGGCAGCAGTGGCTGTGGCACTTCCCACGGTGCCTCCCTGGTGGGAGCCGAGGGCTGTGTGTGCCCAACACATGCCGGGCAGCCCCCGACATCTTCCAGACTGCGMGGGAGACTCGCTGTGTGTGAATCCTTAATTTAGCTTCGATTCAGGAAATCAACACCCACACAAAGTCTATTTACTGCTGCAGTTTCTGTGCTTCTCTGAACACTAATCACAGATTCAAAAAACCTGAAAAACAACAACAAACAACTAAAAACCAAACCCATAAACATAAGAAAACTGCCAAGCTGGTATCTGTCTCGCTCTCCTGTTCCTTCCCTATCTGCTCTTGCAGATAAAACACTACGTCTGTGTTCTTTTCTTTGTTCATGTTCCTGCATCAAACACTCAATAACCAGCAMTTATCTCACTGCAAGGACAAAGCCTAAGGTTCAGTCGGGAGCTGAAATGAGCCTTTTTAAAACTCAAAATAAAGGGTGTTCCATGTTAWGCTGGAAGGTCTGAAAAGCCCTTGAGGGAAGAGGTTCAAGGCTGGATTAGGTGTCTTGTACATCAGTGAAACTGCTTTTACTTTTTTATTTTCTGCAGTTAATCACAAATTTGGGGGATGATAAAACAGTAATTGTAATAGAGAGAGAGAGAGAGGGAAGTTATTCAAACACTGGACTCAAATATTTAGTATTTAATACAGAAGCATAAAGATGAGATTGTAAAACCATCAGCAAAAATATTTATTCTGCCATTTTTGGGCAAACTCCTACTACAATCAGCAGGAGCAATCAATGTTGTTTCCTTCTCCCTGCTCCTCATTCAGAGCCTGAGGCAATGAGAGAGCACACAAATGGGAATGAGGATGTGCTGAGACACCAAGAGCCTTTGGAGGAGCTTTAGACAAGAGATTGGGCTGAGCAGGGAAGGRTGGGTAAAGGGCCAGTGGGGACAGTCCAGATGCTGCTGCCTGTGAGATAGTGACAGGAATCAAATAATCACCAAGTGCTGCTCTTGGCAATGAGCATGAGTGATCATGATAATGACACATTCACTCAGCCAAACGCTCCAGAAAACTTCAAGCAACATGCAGTTTTGGAGAGGCACTTGATGCAAGCAATATTGAAGGTGCATGATGCTTCTGAAGCAAAAGAGAAGCCCTGTCCAGAAATTATCTCTTTAAACCACAAAAACAAACCCTGGGTTCCCTTGAAGGTCATTTTGGCTACAGCACATACCATTGAATTAAATGGCTGTTGAGAGTCAGAGAGAAATGTCAAGATATCTTTTGTCCCACTAACCAGTGGAGTCAATTAGGAACTGCTAGCTTTTTAATCCTGTCCCTCTGGCAACTAAACWGTTGAACCGCAGAGGATCTGGGTGTTTTGCCAGATTCCTCATCAAATGCCACTAGGGATGAGCAAAAAGAAAAAAAAAAGCCTCCTTATTGAGAGGGAGCAGAGTATGATGAGGGTGTGAATGTGAAGGAACAGGGGCAGCTGAGATGGTGTATGACAAACTGAACTGGCAGAACAAGTAACTTAGATTACAGCATTAGATGCAAAAAAGCTCTCATCAACCAGCCTTTCCTTGTCATTAACAATGTTTTATCAATATTCACATTTAMTTCAGAAAGAGGAAATATTGAAGGATCATCCTAGAGAATTATAAGCAACAAAAGACTCCAACACCGTAACACTGGAGAGATCTCAAAGCTCAGGCTCCTCTCTAGGATGTTCGTTGGGTCTGTGTGAAAGCTGGGGATATGGCTGACAAAAGGAAGCAGTGCTGCTTTGCCCAAAGACTGCAGTCCAAAGAGCTTTTCAGCCCACACTTTAGAGTCTCTGAAATGCACCAGCCAAATTTGCAGAATTATCCAAATTAAACAAGTATTTACAGAACAAGGTCTAGASATAACTTGTATAGCCTTCAATTGAAGTATTTCTTCCAGGAACAGCAAACATGTCAACATCATTTATYCCCATCACTGTCCACAGCAATATCTTGCAGAACACAAATCCTAATTCWACAGCACTGATAAAACCAGAAAAGAAACCCTGGACTCTTAAAACTTCATAGAAGTCACAGACTTCTACTTACAACACAGAAATGACCCCACCAATAAAGAATCCTCCTTGCATCTCAGACAGAGCACACTGGCAGCTTTCAAGCAAACTCAAGACACATTAGCAAATTTGATAATATAAAAATTGGAAATGGAAAATAGGAGGTTTTCCTTTTGATGGAGATATTCATATTTGTGTGTAGAGGGATGATTTGAGTGACCTGAAGCACCAACTGASGTTGATGTCAAAGCACTGCTTTCTCTTGTGGGGCTGTATCCATTGGCCCCACAATTTCTGCATAGGATTCACACGTAACGTGAATGAGCACCCTTGCACCTTCACACCATAAAGGTACTGCTTTCTGAAACTGAAGTAGTCACAACTTATTTCTGTAAACTCCTGCATATCAGTGTTCTACTCTCAAATCAAACTTCAGCATTAAAAAGATACTCCAGAACGAGCCTGTTGAGGTGTTTGTGGCTTCATATGTCTCTGTTCCTTTGCCAAGTTCACAACCCAGTGTGCTGAGAATCAGGGGCAAGGGTGTTCCCTTATCTCCCTTTCCCCTGCAGTAAACCTTTGCTCTGTTTTGTGACCTGCTCTTTGTGAAAGCCATTACACTTTCAGCTTAGGTGCTGCACATAGAAAAGATGATGTTCAGAATGCCTTTAGAGAAGACCCACATGGCAGTGGTTGTGCAAGGAGAAGAGATAGACCTAAAAAGTCTCCATTTTGGGTGGGTTCTGAGGCAAAGAAGATTTTGTGGCTTGTTTCATATTGCAGAAACTCCAGTTTGAATATCAAACTCTGCCTCTAATTGAATGGGGTGTCTGGCCTGGGGCTAATCTCTCCAGGGAACCCAGGAGGTTTTCACAAATCCTGTGCAGGAATGATTTCAGAAGGTGCCCAACATTAAAGCCTCTTACATCCCAGTGTGTCTCTGTACCTAAAAACACCCACCAGTGAGCAGCATGAAAGCTTCAAAGGCTCAGTCAGTTCCCAGTCAGAACTGGGCACAAACATGGTTTTTATTTCTGAACACTGGAGCAGGCTTTGAGAGAGAGGGAATAGCACACTACCATGAAGATGCCTGGAGTCAGTTTTCCACTCCAGTTCTGAGACTAAATCTTTGTGACACCTCTTTATTTTTTTCTCTTTGGCAGTCCTTTCAAAGGCTTGTTGTTTCTCTCTCAGACAGTATCTCTGTCCACTCATCTATCTTTGAATGAGTGAGACAGACGAAGGCCTCCGATARAAACATCTGCATTGGAAACAAGTAAGTTTGAGATTTGATTGTGTCTCATGCACACCCAGAGGAACTGCAAATGTCCATGGCAGATCCCAAGTCTGCAAGATGCAGAATATTTTTGTGTGCATATATACATTTACTTTTTAATGAAAGTATATCTGATTGGCACCTCCTAGATGTGGGCAGCTTCCAGGACATGCTCATCACCTGCCTCAGAGCTTCATCCCTCTGCATCTCATGGACAGTTGCTCAGCAGCAGAGGAGCAARTTCTGTTCCAGCCCTTGATGCCAACACTCAGTGAACTTCTCATGTTTTATTCACCCCACTGYTCACCCTGGCAAAAGCACTGCCCAGAAAAGGCAGCGAGGACCAGCTGATGTTAGGCTACGAGGCTGTGAGCAAATATAATAAAAGTAAAGCATTAGGCTGGGCCTCAATAAAGAAGATACAGCTATTTTAAGTCTCAACTAAAGCTGCTTATTCACAGGCTCCCTGTAAAATACGAGATGTCATAAATGAAACGCTTAAAATGGGTGTTTAAGGAAGGCAGCAAAACAAACATTTACATAATCTTTAAATATTAATAATGGTAAATAATACCTGAACATCTGCTAGCTAGAACAGGGTCACTGATATGGAGATAACTCCCAAAGGGTCAAAAACCCTGCAGTCTCTTTTAGCTTATGGAGCTCTTTGACCATCAGCAAAGCAWAAAAACTTTGTCATTGCCTCTGCACCCGATCGTCTGTCTCTAATGGGCTGAGAGAGGCAAGACAACCATGTTTATTGGGCTGTTAATAACACAACTTGCACAACATTTGTTTGCTCACTTGCTCTTTACAAAGATACTTTTTCTTGAAAAAAACCCTTCACCTTTCTCTAATATTTCTTTTTATTTCACCTTGCACAACCCCAGCCTGCTGTGCCCAGTGGTCACAGTTCTGTTGGGCTGGGGGCTGACTGTCCTCTGCACACCATAAAGAAGCTCATACCCCRTTCCCTTTTTAGCTTAAATTTCCAATGGTGAAGTTGCAGGCRGGCCCACCAAACTTGGGAGCCATCATGATCGCAGTACTGGGTTTCTTTTAGTCTTAAATGTCTCTCACAATTCCTTTAGGTATTATTTAGGTTTTCTAGAACTGGGCTGCCTTTCCCACCTGCAAGGGAACATACAGGCCCAATGCAATGCCACAGAGCTGGAATCTCCATTGGACCAGAGAGGGTTTTAAGTGACCAATAACAGTCAAATGCATCCCACAGCCTCTTCTTCCCCACTTCTGCAGAACAAAACCCTTTTTTATCCTCCGCAGGTCAGACTGCACCACTTTGACTGACACTGTCAYATCAAAAGCTGGAAGGACTCACGGTGCATAGCAAATCCCTGTGACTGCTTGACGAATAACATTACAGRCAAAAATAGGAGGATCACCTCTTTCCAGACTTCTCTTTCCTTTATGTTTTTTTTTTTCCATCAGGCTTATCATCTGTCACTAAAAACACACCATGCAGCTGAGCAAGAACCTGCAGCACCCGCTGTCTCTGTGGGTCTGCATCAGGCTTTCCAAGGCTGGAGCCTCAATAAAGCCATTTCCATGCTTTTCTCCTAATCACATGCATCCTTGCTGATACCACACCTTTGTCGTTAGAATCACTGCAAGTTAAGGAAGTTTTAAGCAAAAATTCTAAAAAACACATCATGTTTCTCCYTTATAAAAAAAGAACAGTCTCAGCAAAGGCTCTTAGGATATTCCTCAATTTAACAAATGTTATTCCAAATTTTGGCTCTAGAGGTATCTTGGTGCCATGATGAGAGGTAGCATGGGAAAACAAGRCAAAAGAGAGATTTAAATGCAGTTCCAGTAGCATCAGAAGAGTGACTGTGCAGTGATGTGTGTCTGATATGAATTGTGCTCAAAAATGYATTTCAAGGACTCTGTGACACTGATGAAAATAGTTAAAATCTGATCTGTTTCCAGAAATGCAGTGCAGTGGTGATGCTGGGCATCAAACCATCAGCACAACAGAACAAAACCCTTCAGCTTTCTCCTGAAACAGGCATGATCTCCTGACATACATCCATTTAGGGGGAAAAAAAGTTAAAAATCACTGTGGTTCCCCAGCTGTCTCCAGCTGAGTCAAAGTAAGGAGTCCACATCCTCTCAGAGAAGCCCTATCATCCCACCCATCAGACCAGAAGATATTTTATCCAGAGGACAGAGCAGCTGCACAGGGGACAGAACAGCACTTTCAATTTGTCTGTATCAGGCATTCAGAACTCATCAGCCAAGCTCCAAAAATTGAGACTGGCTAAACAAAAAAAAAAAGATCTGAAAGCCTAAGACAGCATCCTCTGAGCTTAGAGCAGAGGAGGGCATACCTGGAATTTAGGTAAGCTTGTGCACTTTGGTGAATTCACGCTTTTACAGCCAATTCACAGTCAGTGCCTCCCAGACCTCACCCCTGAGCCTCAGYGGCTCCCAGGGCTGGGTGTGTTCCCACCAGCCCCAGGGAAATCCACCTGTGCTCCACCCAGAGGGTAAGTTAAAGCAAACTCCTCAACCCTAGAAATAGCAGATCAAGTTTATCACTGATTAGCAAAGAGTTATGTCCAATGGTGAGGCTGAACTGCAAGTTGCTGGCAAATTACATTGCAGGGGCAGGAAACACTGGTGATGACACGTTTTGAACTTTAGAGTTTGAAAATATATCTATAAATTGTGAGCAGGGGTCACCACCATGCCCTGTGGGGCAAGAAACATCTTTCAAGGCACACCAGGAACAGACAGGTCTGAGAAACTGTTCTATGGACCACGTGTGTCCCACTGGGCAGGRAGAGGTAGCACTTAACCCTAGATGGCCAATTGACCAGGGATGCAGCAGCAGTCATTCAATCAAARCAACAGAAAACTCTGTCCTTAGCTCTAGAAGGGCCTGGTTATTGAATCTAATCAGAAGAGGGATTGCCATACTGGTATTATAGAAGYTTTTATTCAGGTACCCTCTTACCTCTGCAGCAGCGAATCTAGAAAGGTCAGGTGAGCACATTCCTGTAACTGGGAGTGACAGAAGGCASAAGTGAAGGTAGCAGAGGTCTCCCATCTCACTCTTATTTTGTTATGAGAGTTTGAGACAAGATTTTTCTGGACAAAAGTATTCCATTTTCTCCTAGCAATGATAAGCTGTTTTCTACCCAAAAAAGTTCTTTACTTTGCAATTTAAYCACATCAGCTGAAAAGCTCAATGTAATGTCACAACCATAAGTGAGTACTAAAACCTGCAGCTTTTTCCTCAACAGAGTGAAACACTGGCAGGGTCCAGCCTGAGCTTTGGGGAATGCCAGCCAGAAACTGAGCCAACTGCAGCAACAGGAAGGAATGTAGGAACTGTACAGAGCACTGAGGGCAAAGAGATGAGTATGAGGCCTCTCTGAACTGGCACTGAATCCTTTCCCTTCACACTGATGCACCTGGACAGAGGTTTGTTTGTTTGTTTGTTTGTTTAATTAGATTGTTAATTAGATAATTATTCTTAGATTAGCATGAAATCACGAAAACCATTTTATTCTCACCTCCAAAGGCTGGCCGCATGGTGAAGTCGTGTTCATCGACTCTGAGAAGCTGCTCCGTCTTTCCTTTCCAGGCTTTGGTCAAGTCGCGGTTCTTCTTAAGGATGTGACTGCAAAAGACAG